TATATATATATATATATATATATATATATAAATGTTTATATAACTATAGTATTTCAAGCTTTTAAAAAGTTCAATGTACATTAAAAAGGAAATGATATTCAATCGATTACCTGTATGTACTTAAGTAATTTAAAGTGTTCCATGTAATTACGCAAATAAGATAAAACTTCGTTATGAGATACACAGCATGGTTCCTGTGCTTCCATTCTCATGTAATCAGGAAAATTCATGATTTTTGCAGGCAAATTCGTTCTAAAAAAATTATTCCTTATTTATTGATAAAATGTATAATAACAATGATAAAACGTAAAAAAATCATTTAACGAACCTTAAATTTTGATACATGCTTGAATGAATTGGTAAACCATTTTCGTTTAAACCGATTTTATGATTATATACCCAAGTACCACCAACATCACCGGTTTGTTCATATACTATTATTTCAAAATTCGAATCTTCCGCCAAATGTTTTGCTGCGCATAAACCAGCTGCGCCTGCGCCGACTATGCATACTTTTTTGACACTCTCCGCCATCTATATTTTTTAAAAGAAAATACGTAAATGTGACGTTTATGAGAACGATCGGTAAAAAAAAAAGAACATTTCTAACAGTTTATTATATCGTTAATAAACACCATCTATCGATATATTTCTTTAAATTATAAACATTAATAATAATTATAAACGAAATTTTAGTATGCATTATTCTTTCTCTAAGTTATAAAGATAAACGCAATAATTATGCTTATGACACTTCACACCTGCTGTTTTTTTACTGGGCTATTAGATAAGAACTTGAAGATAATTAAAAGTATTTTTTTTTTAATCAAGTTATGCAAAAATGAAATATAAAATTTCAATTTTTATAACAAAGATATAAGACCATAAGTTTAATTTGTTATTTAAGCAAGATAAAAAACTTATTTTACGATTAATCGAATTTTCAAAACTTTTTAATAATTATTAATTTTTACTTCGTTCTTGAATATATGAAATAACGATAGCAACTACTTTTTCATGTCTATTAACCTATTCATGAGAACTATTCTCTTTTTATATGTTCTGAAATTTATTCATAACAGGAAAAGAAATACTAACGTTTTGTCAAAAGAAACCACAAGTTAACCATGAACACATAGATGTAACTTAAAAACTTAAATGTCTTTATAAAATGATAAGATAGATACTATGATAAAAACGAGAAACTAGTAATTTTTTAAAATATAATTTACAATCATATTAAATAAACAAATTATTTAACCACAATTTATGCTTTCTTTACGAAATAGTATGTTATTAATATTAATATTAGTTTTTAAATAAGAATTTAAAAAATAAAAAAAAGAAATAAAAGAAAACAGGAACAAGTATAAGATTAGAATTCTAGAAACTTTAAAAACAATTTGGTTTATCAACCAAAAAAAAAAACAAACTTAAAATTTATCTACAATTTGTAATCAAAATGACATCCACAACGATAACGTTAAGTTTTGTATGAAAACAAAATAACAAGGTATATTTCTATTCTCGATGAAAAGCTAAAACTAACATTAAAATATTTATTATTATTATTATTATTATTATATTATTATTATTATTATGCTATGCCTTAATAATGCATTATTACCATGAAAGTAAATGACATTGTTACAGTAAAAGTATTAGTGATTATATCCAAACTTAATTGTACTCAATCTAGAACAATCAATAAACAATAAAAGTCTATGTTACAACGGATTACATTTGTTACTCTTCGACCCTAAACTTATTGTAAAATAAGAAATATAATACATAAGCAAAAGATCTAATTTTAATTGCAACTTTTGTTTTCTTTCCTCTCTTGATGCATTATAAATCTAAACAATTTTGCAGAACAATCATTTCAATTTATCATTTCTTTTTTCAAATATCTAATCATATGTTGCATAATACGCACGTAAGAAGTATACATAATTAGAAACTATATACAGTTATCAACGACAACGGTCGTATTTATTTTTTATATTGGATCGTACTCATAGATTTGGTCGTCATTAAAGGAAGTACGAGTAAAATTGAAAGTATGCGTCAAATTTGTTTAAACAGATGAACATCATGATGAAATAAAGAAATCTGGTATATCTGTTTTGATATTAACATTAAATTATTATAATAATCGTTAAAAAAAAAACGTGTACTTTCAATATCAAAATATACTATTCTTCTTCATTTATTTTCAATAATTTAATTGATAGAATTGAGTGCAAAATATACATTAAACAACAATGTTCATACATCACTATCAACTATATTCGTTTACAATTTTTTTGTTAAGAGAGATGCATAAACATGATTGGAGATACATCATCGAATAATCACTGAAACTATCCGTATCATTTTAACTCTCTAATCTAATAGAGATTTATCACATATCATTTTTACATTTAAAATACCAAAATCATATTTGTTTTAATATCTTATACAATAAATTTATTTTTTAAATTGATTTTAAGATTTTTTATGATTTCGTAAAGTCCCTTGATAAGCAATCACTGTTATTTTAGAAATACCTAATGGTCTTTGATTTTAGATCATTTTTTATCCTTAACAAATACAAATTTCACAGATGATATTAAATATTATTGTCACGAAAGAAAATCCATTCCAATTGTGTGTGGCAAATCTCTTAAAATAGTGCATTAACAAATAACAGAATGGATATTAAACATTTTTTATAATAAAAATCTGTAAATGCACGTATGTTTAAACAAATATCTTGTTTTTTAACTGCACTATATATATGCATATATAATGGAAATAATTTTTGTTTTAAGAAAAAAATGAAATAATTTGTATTCTATAAAAAGTTATATTGAACAAAACCACAAATTATTTACTTAAATTTAACATATTTGAATATTAAAATTTAAACAATTCTAAATTCCTATATACAAAAGTGCTTAATTCGATAATAATAGAAAGCATATATAAGCGCTCAATCGAAGGATTTTTAAAGAATAGAAAAATTAATTTACAATAAAGAATTTTATACAAGTATTTGTTTATAACTACGACTTGCATTAGCCACGCATGCTCGTTTTTAATGTGCATTAAAGAAATTCTCTAAAAAGGGTCTTCCAAAGTCTTATAGCCATATAACAAGTAATTATATATTGTATATTTGGTGTTATACTTTGATTTATAGTGCATTAGTTTATTTACTTAAATATATATATATTTCTTTTGTTTTCGTGAAGTACTTGCGCTGCAGTATTTTCTATTTGCAAGCAATTTAACTCCTTTAGTCGAACATGGTGACTACAGACTTTGCATTAAATCTCAGACTCATAACATAGAAACATTCCAAGGACCCGAATTTAATACCCTTAAAATATGAAGTACAATGTGTGATTAATATTTATTATTATTATTATTAATATTATATTAATATTATTCTCATTGTTATTATTACGATTATTATTACCTGTTATTGTAGCAAATATAGAAAAATGAATGCCATAGGCATTCCTATATGTAAGTTAATACAAAATTATACAACATAAGTTTTCAAGAAAAATGAAAATTTGATGTCTTTATAACAAGCTGTATATATGTATAAAATCACAAGTTGTAATGTGATCATAGAAAATATACATTGTTCAATATTTAGTTGATTTCTGTTCAATTGACAATTTACCAACTCTATTATTTCATATCAGTATTGAGTTGCATTTGCGCAATGCATTTAGGCTTTTATCAAGTTCTTGGACTCATGTGGAACAGCAATTGGGCGGATTAAGTAGATTATATCAATATGAACTTCAATATGCGATTAAAACTTTCGTGGTATTTCTGCATGCAAAATGTTGCAACACTTTACAAGGCCTTTCATATAATAAATCTTAATTTAATGTTTTTCCAAGAAAAATATATATATACATACGCACACAAGGTATAGCACTTATTGGAAAAATTTAAATATTTTCACCATTCATAAATGTATATAAAAAAAAGAACTCTGTAAAGATTTACAATGTTTGAAAAAGAATATCCTTCAAAATTATTATTTTTTGTTTTGTTTTATTTTTGAAGACATTAAGATCGTCGTTTTATTTATTTTTTAATTTTTAGCGAAAACGCATTATTTTTTTATATCTTTATAGAGAATAAAAAACGAATTCAACGATCTATAAAAATTTATATCATAATTCAATGGTTCTTATATACATATATGACATATATACTGAGAGTAAGTCACCTAATTTGATAATCTTAAATTATTTGAAAACTGTTCAATTTAAAATTTGAATAAATTCAAGAAACACATTAGATATAAATTTTTGTTCGAGAATTCGCTTGCATATCAAACTATTAATTAGTAATTTAAGATAATTAAATTAGGCGACATATCTAGTATATACATATATAAAAATCATGTTAAATCTACATTATGAAAATTTGTATATTTCTCAATGGAAAGTTCCTTTTTGCAAAGGCTAAAAGTTTATTCAAGCTCTTATGAAAAACGGCTTATTCGACAATTACTTCAATTAACATTATTTATTGTTGACAGCAGTCTTTACTCAACAATAATTATTAGTATTCTGTAATATATATATAATTCAAATACTGCATGTGCAATCCGCTATTTGAATAACAATGATACGTTCGTACAAATATTTCCACTCTCATTCCTTATTACAAAATAGAATGTCAGTGAAAAATAAAACTTATTCTTATCAAACCACTCTCTTAGACTTGATTACAAAAAATAGTATGCATAATCATTGTGTCTCAGTAACATTAGCAAACACTGAGTCTATTGGATACTTTTTTGTTTTCAGAATCAACCTTCACTTACGGAAGATAATGAACTGCGTGTAGAACCAGCAGTATGATGCGTAAGATCAGGAAGGTCTGCTGGTAAACATAATGGAATCGCACTAGGTCCATAAATTGCCTCTTGTTCTTCTAATTGAAGAGCAAATTGTTCTTCAAGTCTCTGTAATATGAAATGAGAAAGCTTAATGATTTAATAGCTAGAAAAATATTTATTTCAAAAAATACTTGTTACAGTATTAAACCTTAAAGAAACTGGAATTGTATGGCACAAGGTAATTTTCTAAATTCTCTGTAACAAAGTGTACAAATATAGGATACAACAGATTTAACTAACCTTTCAATAACCTTTATAATACTTCTTTTCAAATCCGACTGTGGTATCTCTTTATAGTTTTCTTTTATAAAGGTTCTTGTGGGAATATTTATGAGCAAGGACTACAATTACAAATTAGCATGTTTGCTATTAGATACCCACGTAAGAATCCTTTAAAAAAAAGCATTTATCACATAGTTCTACTACTTAATAAAACATAGCATAAAACCAACAGTAACCACATTTACCCACATTATTTTCTTAACATAAATATATTTAAGCTTTAGAATATAAAATGAATCGAACTCTTTACATATAATTTTCGTATGACAAATAATAATAATAATAATAATAATAATAATAATAATAATAATAACAATAACAATAATTATAATAATAATAATAATCATGATCATAATAATAATAACAGTAATAATAATTATTATAAAGCTGCAATGGAAAACAAAACTACAAAGCTGTGATAAAAAAGCACATTTTTAATAACATAATAATTAATCAAATGAAATTGTAAATCACATACCAATGTTGGTACTTAATATATTAAAATATTTTACTTTTTTTTTGTTTTGTCTTCTCTACAATAAATATTCGTAAATATTGTACTGATTCATCTATAATTCACATAAAATAATATTTTAGTATCTGCGTTATATGTAAATATTCTCTACTTTTTTTTTACTTACTCTTTCAAAATCTTAATATATTATGTAATCCTGGCAACAATTATTTTAATATATTCTATCATAATTTAAACGATAATCTAGTAGAAAAATATAGATAAGTGGATGTATAATCCACGTCTCTTAAATACATGTATTTATATATATGCATGTATTTATTTATTTATATATATAAACAATGTCTATTTCATAAGTTAAAATATAATCATATTAGTACCAACTCCATATAAAGTGTATAGTATAAAGAAAATAGCAATAGAAGAAGCACATGGAATGTTATATTTTTGAAAAGAGAAATGAAATAAATTTGGAAATATAAATATCTTTATCTTTGTTCAATATATATCATGCATGTATTTGCATAATTGGATTATATTATAATATATACTAAGAATGTTAACTTAATGAAACATAGTCATATTCTTCATACTTATATATCCAAATTTATCAATAAACAAGATGAATATATGATACATGATGTTGGCAAGTACTATCTACGGGACAAACAAGATGGCATTAGATCTGGTTTAGAACGACTTCGAATAAGCGTGCCATTTGTGGAAGTAGTATCCGAACCAGTAAGTCTAAGAGAGACTCTAGGTATAATAAACGGAGATGGAGAATTTGGAGTAGATCGAGGTAAGCGAGAAGATTTTTGCAAGGTGTTAGGAAATGATGATATATCAGAATACTCAAAGGAAGGTAAAGAGAAACCACTAAGACCAGAGGGCAAATAATCTCGGTAACGAGCTTCCAATGCCTCCATTTCAGTCGCCAGCTCAGCTTCTATCTTCTACAACAAGTAGATTACAATTTAATTCGATAATTTACTTTACTTTTTTTGTATAGCTCATTGAAGATCATAGTTACAAGGACGAATTACTGTAATAATTACAAAGTCTCGAAAACATTTAATTCTATTATACCACTAATATGCAAATGTATATTATCTAATCTACACCATGTCAATAATTAATCTCATTTCACATTTAAAAATTGACCAAATGACTTTTATTCTAAATTCCAAAATCGTATATAGGAGCCAAACTCAATAAAAGCAGAAATAATAAAAGGAAAATATAGTCTTTAGGAATCATACAGTAAATAAGCAAATAGTTTGAAAATTAATAGTAGAAGCAAAGAAGAAATGATCAGAATTGAATAACTTACATGTTTCATTACTCATATGAGATTGCGCTCACTTAAAAAGACAAAATTAACATACAATACTATAAAATTATTTACCTGTTTTCGTGGTTTCAATTGTGCCTTCCACTCGCGAAGTTCTTTGCTATATGTTTCTTCTTGTTCTTTTAACTTCAATGTCTCATGCTCCATCAGCATTTTTCTCTTTTCATTCTGTAGTTGTTCTAATTCCTTGATGGTAGCATCACTTTGAGCTCTAACTTCTTCGAGTTGACGTGAATGTTTCAATTCAAATCTTTGTTGTTCCGCTCTATACCTTTTTTTCTCATTCTCTTGGAACTTCTTCAATTTCTCTCTTTCAGCTTCAGGATCCGAAGCAATTGCAGAAGACATTGAAATTCTCATGGACTCCCTAAACATCATCTCGCGTGCTTTCATCTCATTTCGAATCCTTTTAGGCAGGTTCCTACGCTCTACCGTTTGACGCTTTATTAATTCATCTTCCTTCCTCTGATTCATTCTTTTCATTTGTTCTAATTCCTTTTCATGTCTAATAAGCATCTGATGTCGCTGCAAGAAGAATATATCCTTAAGTTGTCTCTTTAGCAATTGTTGTCTTTCATGTATCTGTCTTTCTTCCAGCTCCCAAATAGCTGCTTCTCGAGCTCTCATCATTTGCTGTTTCTGTTGTAGAAACTGTCTTTCCATTAAAGCTATTTTTTCTCGATGACTATCCGATAATCTTCGCAATGACATCTCATGACTTTCATTAAGTTTTTCTAAGAAAAGTTTTTCTCTTTCCTCGTGTTCAGCCTCAAGTTTTTCTTTTCGTACTTTAAAAGCTCCCTTTCTTTTTTCCTTAGGCATTAAGTCAACCTCTTGTTTGAGTAATCGTAATTCTTGTTTTAAACCTTCACGGAATTGTTTCAATTCTCTCTCTTGTTCGCTACGAATCTTTTTTGATGCCAGTCTAAGATCAGCTTCTTGTTGAGCTTCTGCACGCTCAATTTGTTGCCTTTGTTGTCTAGCGAGCGTTTCTAAATCTCCTTCAGCACCACGTTCCAGCAATTGTCTTTCTTGTTCAAACCGTTTCTCTTGTTGATCTTTGTTGAATTGTGATTTCTGTGATAGATCTTGAAACTGTTTTTGTTCACTCTTTTGTAACATTTTTAATTCGCGTAATTCTTGTTTCCGGAATATTTGATCGTCATAGACTTTACCATTTTCATCATCGCCATATATAACTTTGGATGTAGTCGTTGTAACAACAACACCATCGATTTCAAATTTCCTTGTTCGTTTTCTCGTTTTCTTCTTCAAATTCATCATTTGTATATCTTCCTTCGTTCTAGGTGTTCGAGATACATCCCGACTATAATCAGATTTTCGACGCAGAACAACTTCCTCTTCACCTTCCGTAGTTTGAACGTGAGATAAATGATTTTCTTTATTCGAACCTCGACTATCTTGGCTTATTGTCGTGGAAATTGATTCGGCATCAGAACGATCAAGGCTTTTACTTGGTGTATGCGATCTCGTTGATCCTGAATCACTCTGCGATCTTGACCCTTCAAAACTATCCGGTGATACACGTTTATCTTTCGAACTTCTTACGTAATCATCTTTTTGTTTTGCCGATGTTACAACTCTGTCTTCGATACGATGTCCAACAGCTGGCCTTTCATTTTTAATTAAACCATTCATCTTCTTCGAATTTCTTTCAACGTCGTTAAGATCCGTTCTATCAGTAGTTGTTCCTGTAACTGTCATCGACGTTTTACTTATTTCATCACCACTATCGCTTTTCGAACTTGCCTGTTCGATCAAACTCAAATTGCTGTGTGAAGAACCAGTTCTAACGACGTTATGTTTATTACTTATAGAAGAATCTTTTACTCGTTCTCCATCGTCACCGACAGTAACAACAGAGACATGACTAGTATCTTGTAATTCATCAACAATAGGACTGACGATAATAACTTCAGACTCGTCTAACTTTTTACCAACACGTTTGGAGGTATCCATAAGAATAATGGGTTGTTCCTGTGGAGTATATTCCAAACTATCTAGACTAGGGAAACCATCCTCGTCGGTCGAATTTTCGTTAACTTGGGTTTTATTGGTTTCGTTTGCAACAATAACTACTTCAGATGTAGGGGAAGAACGTCTTAGTAAAGGAGTTGTAGCTGTTGCATCCACTAACACTGGAGGATGTGTAGTGACAACGGTAACTTGACTTACATTACTTGCAAGACTATTAGATGGATCCGGAGAATCAGCTGTAATGCGAACTGTTGATCTATTGGAACGTACTTCTTGTTCGCCTTGAGATTTACCTGATACAACAAAACAAATAAAAAATATATATATTTTAGAATAAATCACTAATAAAATTAAAAAATGTATTTTAATATCACTTTACCAGTAATAACAACTATGTTATCCGCACTACTCCTTCGAGACGTACTTCTACTTCTAATTGGTGTCGATGTTATTACAGATACATTAACAGCAGAACTCTGGCGCTCATAATTTTTATCTTCTCTATTATCTTCTTTTAATCTGTGTTCCTTATTTAACCATTTTGTTCTCTCATGTTTATCTTGGAATTCATCAGTAAAGTTTTCTAAAGAATCATTTCTGGAAGAACCTTCGCTATGACTAGTCAAAACATTTTCAATTTTATTCAGGCCATAATCCGTCTTAATATTTTCTGTAGAGCTTGCTTTCATGCTATTCTTTTCTGATAACGTAACATTTGCTATATCAGATGTATGCTTCAATGTTTCAATCGATGTAGTGCTTATCCTTTTCTGTGTATCCATAGAAATACGTTTTTCTAAAACTGCATTTAGTTTATCTTCTACAGACTTTCTTTTTTGTTCCAAATTTTTCATGTTATCTTCTATTAAATGTTTCTCATATTTACGTTGTTCTTCTATCGAAGTGTCTAATTGGAACCTAAAAATAAAATTAGATCATAGTAAACTTTAAATACTATATTACTTTATATAAATAATTACAAATACCTGCTCTTCTCTTCAAGAGATGATTGCTTATTATACACTGGCTTTATCCATTCCTCCGACGAAGTTGGCTTGATAGGAGCCGACTTTCGATTTTCATCTAAACTCGATTTTTTGGTTAGTATATTTACATTATCCATTAATTTTGGTTTCTCCTCAATACTTTTAGATTTACTCAAAGCAAACAACGTTTTATCAATCGTTTCTGTTGAATTAATTTTATCTATGTTATCTAATTCATCTTGTTTTTTATTAGACGCTCCTATCTTTATCTGATCTTTAGTATTTGGTTTCTGCTGTTCCATTTCTACTCCCACTGATTGCGATGATAATAAATTACGATCTTGTTTATCATCCTTTACTTTACTTTGACCTAACGATTCCATGGCACTAGATTTGTTTGCCAGATCGGCACAATTCTCTTTTTCATCATTTTTGTTGTCTTGACGAACCGACGGAGGTGGAGGAGCAGGACCTTTATCTCTAGATATCCTACGTTCGTTATTTTCAACTGTAGCTGGAGGTTTGGGTGCCTAAGTGTAATTTAAAAATGTTAAAATATTTTCTCACAAACAAAATTGCTTATAGTATCGAATAATTTTCTTACCTGTTTTTTCTCGTTCAATGCGTGCATATTTTCCTTCGATTCAGTTTTACGCAATTTCTTACTTCTATCTTCTTTCTCACCATCTCTATTCATCTCCCGTTTGTGACTATCCTCTTTTTTCGTGGATATAGGTATTGGAGTAAGATTTTCTTTCTCAGCAACTACATCACATAATATATATTTATATATACAGATGGAAATTTTATTTAAACATTATTTTGAATGCATATATATATATATATATAATAATAATAATAATAATAATAATAATAATAATAATAATAAATTACCTTTAATATCGCCATCACTGCGCATAGATGCAGAGTCATCTCCGAGTTGTTCCAATTCCAAAGGAAGCTGAGATGTGCGCTGCTCCTATAAAAAAATTCATATATTTTCTTATGATATTAAATATAATATATAATATATAATAAATATAGCATAAATATAAATAACGAAATACACCATTTTCTACATACCAAAACTACACCAAAGTTAACATAGTATAAAAAATTTGTATAATTAAAAATTTACATACTAAATGAGAATTCAATATAATGTTTGAAATCATGTGGGGGATAATGAAAAAATTAATATAGACATTCTATTATTGAAACTACTAACCTGACAAGTACAGGGATGAGAGGGCTGGCGAGGCCCAGGAGAGCCGCATGCACAGCCAAATATTCAAAATTAAAACAACATATTGCTCAAAATGTAAATATACAAAATGTATGAATAAGTAAAAATGTCAACAAAAGAAATAAATATGTTTTCGTATAAAACTAATAAATTTTACAATATAACTTACTAAAATTATTTAAATATATAATGAAGAAATAAATATTAATAAAAAATTGTCTGTGTAAACATCTGTTTTTCATTTAAAAGCAGCTTACCAATACGCTGATACTGTTCTCTGTGTTTTTTTGCTTTTTTGGCCTTCTAATATAATGTAAGCATGTAAAAATATATTTTTATTATGCCTGTCTATATCAAATATTTTTAACTTAAAGTTTTCATTGGTTTTGATATACAATTTTGTAGACCCATAAAAGATATTTGACAGTATATAATAATTATATAAATATATAAATCTAAGTAAATCTTATTAAGTAATAATAAACCTTTATATACAACAATGTATCTTACCTCAGCTTCTTCATCGACAAGTTCTTCTTCAACAACATCAGCTTTATATTCAAGTAATAAATCCCTTATTGGTTTAGAATCCAAATTTCTACTTATAAATGGATGTCTTAACAATTCTTCAGCAGTGGGTCGTGATGATGGATCCTTTATAAGTGCTTTTGCAATAAAATCATTAAACTCTTTGCTCCATTTTCCAGGTTGATCAAGCTTTGGTGGATCGCTTTTTTGAATCTTTAATAAGACACGCATTGGAGACATTTCATGATTTGGTGGCTCCATTTGCGCAAACTCTATAAGAGTTATGCCAAGGGACCAAATGTCCACCTAAAATAAGTAAAAAATTTCATTGCATTATATGAAATAATAAGAAAATCAATCAATGGTACTCACTTTGAAATCATAAGGATTATCTCTAAATGTTTCGCATAGTACAACTTCTGGTGCCATCCAATAGGGTGTACCAATGAATGTATCATGTTTCTGTAACGTGTGCTTATTTTTTGCAGATACCCCAAAATCGGCTACAAAATAAATACATTATATTCTTTATTGTAGTTGTATTTCAAATTCAAAGAAATAATATTCTTACCAAGTTTGACACCTCCCGCCATTGTTAATAAAACATTCCCCGCCTTTAAATCCCTATGGATAACTTTGGATTTATGTAAGAATGCTAGACCCTTTACCATATGCTGACACACATATGATATTTGGCCTTCTGTCAATGCTTTCTCCAACTCTACCATAATAGAATCTACAGCACCACCATCACAGTATTCAATCAACATCTGTAAATATTATGTTATTGTTAAAAATAATGCTTCTTCTCTATATATCAATTAGATGTTAATTCAAATATACTTACCCATAATTTGCCTTCTATAAAATATGCTTCATGTAATTCAACAACATTTGGATGTTTACATTCAGACAAGATATCGATTTCAATCATAAAATCACTAAGATCGTCTTCCCCTTCCAACGCACACATTTTTGCAGCAGCCAACTGATGAGTTTGTTTATGTTGTGCCTATAAGCAATTATAAAATGAAAAAAAGTAATAAATAAAATGAATTATTCTTATGATATAATTTACCTTGTAAACTTTTCCAAATGCACCATCTCCAAGTTCGCCGACCATTTCCCAGAATTCTTCTGGATTACAATCCATTTTAATATTATTATATAACTTTTTCTTTTTTGCGTCATTGCCACCGAAGTGGAATGCTTTCTTTAAATTTGATAAAAACGACATAGTGATTTCTTTTTATCAACGCACTTGTGTATATAAACTTAACTTGCACTATAATTACATTATGTCTATAGACAGTTCAAATATTTAGGTACATAAATTATGTATATAATATGACCACAAAAATCCAAATAAAAATATTTCATGAAAGTAAAATTCTCATTCAGTACATAAAGATTTCATTTCTTCGAAGACTGAATATTATGATTTTACTTCCATTTTCATCTTGATTTATATAACAATCAAACTATTTTGTTGTTACTTAGTTTAATTTAGATCCCCGCTGGATACCAGGGGATCATAGTAGACCTCTCCCGCATCTTGATAAACAATAAGTTTGCTCATTAATTAATGAGTACCTTGATATAAACTAAAGTAAATATCCATATTGAAAATGTAACCCATTATTAAAACGTAGTAGGTTTCTGAAACACAAGTTAGAATAAAATATATTATTTCTTTTATTCTATTATTATATTTCTAATACGTTTTCAATTTTACTGTCAATTATTCTATACATTCGTAAAGCAATGATCTGCAATAATGCAACATCTTACTAAAATATTATAAAACTTCTACATAAAAATACAGATAAAACAAATCTCTTTTTCTTTTTATTATACTTGATAAATATTGTACTGATAAATGCTATCAGAATGATATTAATCGTAAAACACAATGTCTATTAAGGTCGAAGAAAATCTTAGGATGATGTTTACTTCTCCAATTACGACTAGTAAATTCTGCTACTAATATCAAATAAAACCCAAGTTACATTAAATTACCTTTACATATGGTAATATAGTTTATATAGAAACATAATTATGTTAAGTTTATTTAAATGTATTTTTGATAAGATAACTATAAAATTCAAATTTAAAGAGAATTTAAATGTACATAAAATAGAAAATAAAGGTTTACTTGAAAGAAAAATAGAAAAGAAAATAATGTCCAAATTCTTCCTACTTGTGAGCGATCAAAAATCATGTTGAACGTTATTACGGAAGTGTAAAAATGTTTTATTACCGAACATAGAGAACTTCCGCGAAGATCCCGTGGTTTTACTCATCTCTGTTCGCACTAATTATCGCGTTAAAAAATAGGAGAAGGGAACAGTCTAAAGAAACAGAGAGAGAGAGAGAGAGAAAGAGAGAAGAGAGTAAGAAAAAGAAAAAGAGAGAAACAGTTACCGCACATTCGGTCATAGGCAGTATATAAATACATACATGAATCGAGATGAAACGTAGGATGTGACGGAAAAGGAGAGAAACATACGTATCGTTCACTTTCAAACGCTCTATTAATCAAAAACAATTGGGCAGGTGGTATCGTTCAGCGGTCACGCGGTTGACACAATTTTGACAAGCAGGATTCGGTCATGCCTGGCCGCCATCGTACGGCGAATGCACTTTCTCCATCATCCTCAAAATTCCAATCTCATTTCTCATAGAATAATTTAGATATCAGAAAAACAATATTATTTATTAAATACAATTATAATATAATTATAATACAATTAAGTATTGCAGTAAGAACAAATTAAAAGTTCATTTAAATGGCAATAACGTACAACCTATTACATTGGATTTCATGAAAATAAGGAACGTAAAGCCCGTGCTTGTTCGTAAAATCCATAGGAAAGCCAATCACGATCTATCGTGGATGTATATATATATATATATTTTTTTTTGCCGATCATTCGATCGAAACGATAGCAAGAATTGTTCTTATATTACATTTAATTATTATTATAAATTCAACAAATGGTTGAACTCACGATATTATCGACCATCGAAGGTAACATAAGGAGAACACGTTCGTGGGATGAAAATATGCAGCACGTCCTCCGTCTCTCACCTTCCTTCTTTCACGACTTGAAGATCCAAGGAAACAAGTTCCATGTATACGAATGATATCTTTCTATCTCTCTTTCTTTTTGTAAAGAACGCAAATATTGATTAAACTTTAAGATAGAAAGGCACGACAATCGTTTTTTCGAATTTAGCACGCACCAACACGCTTTGATAGAAATTCACTATCGTACAAATAGGTAAAGTTAAGCGTATGAAGCTATCAACCGTAGATCAGTAAACTCGGAAGACCTCGATATACGCGGCCATTTTCAGCACACGCACATCACACACGACACTCCATCACGACTGGAAGTGACGTAACCAATCGGCAAGGGCGGCACCGTTCACGCGCTCCCCCCACCAATCTTTTCTAAGTATCTCTTGTTGCATTCACAATGCGATATCTTTTCATCCCCTCGATATAATCGTCATCAAATCAACCTAAAAAAACTATGTATATATTACATATATACGCATATACATATTTACATATGCATGACATACATATATATCTATGCACGGTGTCCTTTTTCACTTTAAGTCTGACGTTGTCAATATCTCGTTATTGAACAATTAATCGATATCGCATTCGATAACTACTACGATTTTTTGAATCGAACTTCACGTTTCTTACTTGTGTATACATTTTCTCTGTCCCATGTGATTCTTATCAACTATTTATTCGAAAATCTTTAAACCAAGGTAAACAGGTCTCTAGGAAACTGAAATGTTAGAAGTAATGAAAATGAAGCATGTCTAAAAATGTTTATTAAATTACGGGATATTGATGTTTGCAAATGTCGTTCTCATCGAAGCCTTATATAAATCTAATCTCATTAGATACTTCAAACCTTAATCTGTGCCTCACTGTTTAGCTGAGAAGATTATCATTTTCTTATTTTTATAAAAAAAGAATCTTTTTACAAGATTCGTTATTTTTTTATTTAATATATAATAATGTTAGAGAGAAATATTATTATTAAACATAGAAAACTAATTTATAAAAGAACTGTCAAGTATTTATTTATATCTATAATTTTCTCCTTATTAAATAATATTTTTATGTAACTTTTAAATTTTGTTTTCTAAATTAAGTATAATACTCTATTCAAATTATTAAAAATAATATCATTATTTTTGAAGAGTGTTTTCAAAAAATTAACGATAACCTATTTAATTAAATTCATGAAAAAATAATATGAATAATTTCTTCTTTCTAATAATTCAATTAAATGACAATAACAAATTTACATTTATATTATTTACTCTTTACTTTATGAAATGAAAAAAGATTGTCACACATAAATCTTTTTGTATATTCGTAAATGTTATAGATATGTGTGTAAGGTCACTTTAAAATACTTGGTATTATTAAATAATTTGTATCGTATTGTAAGTATCGTTTTTTTCTTTATGATGAATTAATCATATTTTATAATAAATAGAACAAAAATATAAACATTTTTTATATAATAATATGATTTTATTAAACTTCAACACTTCAATTAATTCTTGTAAATTTAAACTCATATAAGAATATAAAATTTTAGGTTATATATTTGGTAATAATGAAAATGTCAAAGTTGCATTGAAAATGATTAAATAATGAAAAGTTTTTTTCGTTATTTATAAAATTAAAATTATTTAAATTTATTTATTTTATACGCAGAAGTAAAAGCCAAGATGTCTGGACGACAACGTGGTGTATTCCGAATGATATTTAGAGACTTTTTAGCATCAATTAAACCTACTTTTAATAGACCTAAGTTAATGGGAGAAGATTATTATGGAACTAAATATTATGAAGTAGCGGTAAATGCCACCTCTAAAAAAAAGCTACCTTCTAGATATTTTAAATCTATAAATGATGATTTTGAGCAAGAAATACCTGCAGAGTGGGAAGCTTGGTTGAGATATCGTAGGAAGGAACCACCAACTTACGAAGAAATAGTGGAAAATTATAAAATTGCTATGATTAAAAAAACCAATGCAGCTAAAATAGAAGCTGCTTATAAAGAACAGAAATCTTTAAATGAACCTGAAATACCTATTGAAGAACGTGGACAGAGGAGTTTTCCTGTCTATGAGGAATACAGTACCACGAATACACACAACGAACAAACATCTAAACCAAAATTAAAATAACTTCTTATTGAGAAAAAATAACACACCCTTTATGTAGTAATAAAACCTTTGTAAATATATACATTTCGTAGTATTAATTTCTTCAATTCCGAAAATGAATATGTGCACTATTGACTTTACAGAAATACTATGTGTAAAACAATTTATTATTATTTTCTATCATCTATTTACATATATTTTCATCTATAAATCAGTCATTTAACGACTGAAAAAAAAAATTGTAAAACTTAAGACTACATCTTTGAAACATACAATTTACAAACGTTAATGTTATGCAAAAAAAAAAAAATACCCTTTTATTTTTTCTCAGAGTATTCTTCTAAATAAATGAATTCAAATAGGAAATTCAGATACAATGATAACTTGTACTTCATAACTTTAAAATTGAAGTGCTTATGAATATATTTATCCAGTGTTTTTATCAAGTTAACACAATTTTCATTTTTGCAATAGTATTTTGCAATAGATTTAATTTAAAATAAAACAGTAAAAAACAATGTAGTTCGTTTGATTATTACAGAAATCTATTTATGCCCTATAAATTTTTATTAAATCGTAGTATAATAGTCTTTGTAACGAGAGAACTTTACTCTGAATATGAACTTTATGTTTTTAAAATATTATTACTTATATTATCAGGTATTGTGATTAACGCATGAAATGAACCTTTCTTCTGAAGATATTAACATGACAAATCAATTATTGAATATCAACGAGATACTTTGATAATCGTAGGAGTTGGTAATAAATAATATCCCGAAGTTTGTTCAAATACAAACTATCAGTCAACATCAAATACAAATTCTTCCATGTGGTAGAAATTGATGGAATTTGATATATAAATGTATAATTGAGAATGCACTAATCAACCAGAAAAATCACTATTATCAAATAGAGCTTGATCATACAACTCTCCTTTCACTAGTCTCCCACCAAAATAGCGACCATTTAAAGAATCTCTTGCTCGTTCGGCTTCTATAATAAGAACATATATATATTATATGTACATATGTTATTGTCATTTATGGTAATAAAATATAATAATATTTAAGGAATTATCATCTTACCGCTCATTTGTGAAAATTCGACAAAAATTTTCACAATAACTTCTGCATCTTCATCATCTTCAGATTGTCGTTCATTATAAATAATAACACGCTCTACAACGCCAAATTTAGAACATTCATCTTGAATTTCTTCTTTTAGACTTTCATCGATATCTTCAGGAGCTACCATATTTCGTAAAATGACAACACGAGATTCTACTTTACGCATAAGTTTTTGCATAACAAGATGTCGAGCACTCTGCCCCTTTATAGACATATTTTCCTGTTGTTGCAATGTTTGCGGTTCCGTTTCTTCTAGTAATTTTTTTTGTAATTCTTCTTGTTGTTTTTGATGTGCTGCTTGCTCTTGTGCTCGTCTCATAATATCAGAATTTGCTGTTGTGACTACTGGTATCTACAAATAAGTGGATATTAAAATATATGTTTAATTATACAACGCGTTATATAATATTTATGAAAAAAAAAAACTTACAACTGGAGCTCCTACAATGGCAGGAGCAACAACAGCTCGAGGTGGTATAATAACTGGTTGCCCAGGAATTGGTTGTATAATTGCAGGTGGACGTGTTAAAGTTTGTGGTATGGCAATACCTGGGGGCGGTATAACTGGGGCAACAGTTGCAACAGTTGGAGGTGCCATTATTGTTGCAGGTGCAATTGTTGGTCGTACTATTCCTGGTAAGGCTATAATAAATCACAGAAGAAAATGAACATAAATAAAGTAGATTACAACTTTGTTGTATGTAAATATGGTGAGCATTATATAAATACCTTGATTTAAAATTGGTGGTGCTGTTGCTCCAAGTTTGGTTAATCCAAGTGCAACAGCATTGCTAGCTACTGCATCCATAGCTTGTATTTTCGCTGTAGCTGCAGCAGCCGCAACTGCAGCAGCTGTTGGCATCATACTAGTTCCACTTGGAGGTCCCATCAAAGCATTTGGTGGTGTAATAGCTCTACCAACTCTTAGATACTGCCCACCCAAGTCAAACAAATTCATAGATGCTATTGCTTCTAAAGCAGCTTGCATAGTTTCATATTCAATAAAACCATAGCCTTTATGTCTATGAGGTGAACTACCTTGTGCTAATTTACAATAAGTAATAGGTCCAAATGCTTCGAAAACAGACTTTATATCATCCTCTGTCAAATCATGATGTATAGATGCAATATAAATACGGTTGTAATGTTTACTTTCTTCTGTAATTTCATCAATAACTGATTGTGCTTGAGGCATATTGGATGGCCTTCCCACTACCTGAAAAAATCAATAAAAACGAATATATTCTATAATACGAATTAATAAGATATCAAATATACTTATTTATTAAATAAATATGTTCACATATTCTCTAATATAGCAGATAATTTTATATAATTACATTCTTTTAAACATTACTAAAGATTTTTAACTATTTATATTATAGAATTAAAGGATAAGAAAAATATACTACTAATAACAAACTGTTATTTAAGAAATTACAATTTTAGAAAAAGGAATTGATGACTTTTAATTATATATAATAAAGAAGAGGAATGTAAAGAAATTTCAAGGAAAATATATATACTTATATGTGGAGTAAAATAGATAAAAATTTTTTTGTCATCTAAATATAACAAATATAAATGAAGTGGAAAGGAAAAGGAAGGAAGAAAAAAAGACAATACATTAGGATCTCGACCGAACGGCATTCTAAATATAACACGATGCAGTTCAATCGATTATAATTTGTGAAACAAAATAAAAATTTGCCGACCTCCGGCGGGATGATAGGATTGCTGGGGGACAGGAAATTCGTTATATAGGTACGTCCCGCTACCTTGATGTTGCGTCCACCAATCATGACACCATTCATTTGTTCTAATGCAAGTTGTGCAGCTTCAGGTATCTCATATTCGACGAATGCAAATCCTTTATGTTTTTGTGTAAGAGGATCCCAAGACATGTTGATAGACTTGATTGGTCCAAAGGGTAGAAATGCTTGTCTAATTGTGTCCTCTTTCAATTCGAAGCTGATGCTGCCCACATAAACCCTGTTGTATAGGAATGATATATCAATTTACAATTTATAAATACAATAAAATGTAATACTATCCTTTTATTATTTACATCTTATTGTCATATATTACTAATATTGATATTCTTTTTTTTTCTTATTTAATATATTTTTAATATAATTCTTAATGAAGGTATTTATGAAACCAATTATTTTTACTCTATCCATTAAACTAAAGAAATGTTTACCGTTTCTTTAAAAAAAACAATTTATACAGCAAATAAAACATGAAGAAAGTTAACAATATAATTAAAAAATAAATTATTTTAAGGATGCGCTGATTGATAAATTGTCTGATTGATATACATATATATGATGTTATATATATACATATTTGAACAATTTTTTGAAACATTTTTAATGCTTTTTGAAAAATAATAGAATATAAATAATTTTAAGTTACAATGACATTATTTTTTAAATCCAAGCAAAAAAATTATTGTGTATACTAGTACAAGAGCGTACAATAAAAGAAATTTATAAACTCATTATGTATATATATATATATATATATATATATATATATATATATTATAACTTATATGATTCGAAATTAATTGCAGAAAATGAAATATATATTTCCTAGCATGTTAACACTCATTGAACAAAATTGCATTATGATGCAATATGTATAATAATAGTGTGGATGTATGTATGGATGTACTGTTGCATGTTTGTGTTTTAAATGTGCGCACGCATTTTTAACAAAGTCTAATTTTATACTGACAATGAGATTCATAATATTTATGAAATGATATAAGATCAAAATGAATAGATATAAGCTTAATTAATTGATGTCAATGTCTTTTTTAAAAGCTTTTAACTAAGATTAAATATAAATAGTTTCCTTTTGACATAACTATGAATATTTATCTCTGAGCATAAGATGCAACAATAACTGAAAATGTCGGATGTGATATCTTGAACTACGATGGCCAGGTTTGAGGACAAAATTTGGAGGGCTAAGGCAAAGAACAAACAAACCTGCACATGAGGGCGAGAGCCTGCTGTCTCTGCACCTGATTCCGTTGACTAGCCATTTGCTGCAACACAAAGGACCATAGGCCTTCTATTGATATCCCTCCCCCTTACATACATCATCTTTCAATCACATTTCAAATATCCCCCAAGCTCTTTTACCACTCTAACTTCTTTGCTCAACTACTACTCCTTTTGTATACGCATTGAACATTTTATAGATAATCGTATCATAATAAATAAATAAATTATTAATTGTAAGTTATAAATTACACACTCAAAAACTTGTGTGTTTTAGAAATGTTGTGTAATACAATTAAAAAATTATTTGAGAAGGAAAAATACGAAAAATGTGTATGCTTTAAAGAGAATATTTCAGCAATTAACAAATGATGCTACGATCAAATAATTTTTCTCGTGTCATAAAGATCACTTGTTAACCGACGTTAGAATAAAAATGATTAGTAATTTATAATATATAGATAGACTAAATAGTTAAATTATATTTTATTTGATAAAATGAAATATAAATGCTCTAAAAGAAAGAATAATTGAGCTCAGAAGGGTATAGTTATTAACTTTCTGAAATCATCCACAGATTCATGCTCAAAAACATGTCCTCCTCGCGCTGGTACAGCTCTGCTCCCGCCGACTACTATTATTTCAAGATATCTAACCTTCTCATATGGTAGCAACTCAGGGAAACGTTTAGGAGTGTTTGATCGTTAGGCGGATTCGTATTGTTTCTGGCTTGACTTGGTTGACACTAACCTGCACATTAGCAATAAAACTTGCTGCCGCAGGACCAACTTATTCTTCTGCAGGGAGAAAAAATTAACCGATCAGAGTGAGGTTCGTGTTCGTTTGTAATTTCTTATGATTCACTTTACTCGCATGTTTAACGAACACAAGTAAAATATAATAATATTAGCAGAAATTGATTATTACTCGGCGGGGCGAGCTAATTTTACAAGGACAAATGTAAATTGCAAAACTAAATTATGCATACTAAGTGACTTTTGTTTATTAATTTTGTAACATTGGCAAAGAGCTAAATAGAGGAAATAAAATTATATATTTACATGTATTATTTTTTAACATTCAATAATAAATGAAAATTCATAAAAGTGACCCAAAATAGTTTCTGACTCTATAAGTGTATATGTTAAATTTATTCCACTATGCATTCTGTATTCAATATTATATCAAATGTTCATTAAAAAAATGTGTATAATAAAGTGCTATTATGCAAATTATTATAAAATGTACTAAAAAATTAAATACTTACAACTTCATCAATTTTTATGCAAGTTCTTGAAGATTTTTTTCTTATGTTTACTCAAGTGTTATACCTATTTTCTTCAATATAAGAATGCACAATAGAATACAAAATACATGTTAGGCGAGTAAAGCTTATTAGTCTTGTACAAAAGAAATACCTGTTGTTGATGAGCTAATGTCTGTTTCATGAGAACCATTTTGATGCTTTGTTCCATGGCATATTTCTTCGCTCTGTTTACTGTATCTTGCTGTTCTGATGTAATTTTTGGTAGACCAGCACCTAAGATGCCAGGTAATGTAAGGTATTTTGCACCAGGACCTAAGCATAACATATTAAAAATATACTAGACAAATTGTATTTTAATTAATTAGATATTAATTAAATGTAAACAATTCTTTATCAGATCTTATCAGCTATATGTCCATTAATATTTTGTCACTTCAATATAACTTTAGTTGAAATGATTGGATATCAAATGTCACAAATTTTGTTTACATCATTCAAAACAGTCATAATTAAAACTATCATACTATATTATGAAGATACATACCAGCTACAACTTGGCCTATTTGATTAAGGTCATATATAGGGCCTGGCAAGAAGTCTGTTGCATTCCCTACAAAAAAATTTGGTATTAGAAAAAAATTATACTATAATGGATATTTATTGACGCTACTTCCACCATCACATTAAACATTAATAAAACATTAATATATTATTCATATTTTTGTGAAGGTAGAGGTATTATATTAATGGTCAAATTTTAATTTTAATATTCTAACTTTGTGAAATAAATTTTTGTCAGTTTTATTTTTAAATGTACCGATTTTTATATGATTATATTAACCATATTATTAACCGGTTACTTGATTTAGAAAATAATTACGACAGATAGCTTTTTGGTAGCTTTAAAGTCTGCAATATTCTTGTAAAATTACTGTTTTATAATAATTGAACTAATTCTGCTTAACATCACAATTAACTAAAGGAACCATAACAAGTAATAATATTGTACAGCAATTCCAGCCATAGGACTTCCTCCAAACTGTAAGTTCAAAAGAATTAAAATAGTCAAAATATACGCAATACAACAATTGTTTAAAAATGTTTTTCTTTTAAATATATATGTGTATATATATGTATATATATACACAAATGTATAAAGAATGGAGAAACAGAATTCTCCTTCTTCGCCTAACTATCAGAAAAAATGAAAGTGCACTGTATAGTTTTTTAAATCAGTCATGAAATCTTTTGCAGTAATTTTATAACAGTCTACAAAAATGTATAAGTAGAAGTTATTTTAAATGTAAACTTTTTAAAAATATTTCACAAGCCAAATTTAATTAGAGTTTGATTATAATTTTAATTGCTAATTTAAATATCAGCCTCAAAACATTAAACCACTTATAATTACATTAGATACTTTCGTTTTATACGATCATAACCAATTTGGTCTGCTAGTCTCTGAAACAGAAATCAGAACACGTTGAAACGTTTTGTTAAGATTTCTCCGTTCTTTCTTATTTTCTTTTATTTATTTTTTTTTAAATTTTCAATTTCGTGAATTAAAATTGTTAACTTTGTTCAATTGTTTGATTTACAGCTAACCGTATTCTGGGCTGAGCAATGACGGTTGCGCGCAAATTATCCGAGATTGAGGCGATGCACATATCTGCAAGCACAAAGCAAAGGAGAACACTCTCAGTGCATTTTCTGCGCCATTTTCTTAGATTTTGCCTCGTTCAACCTATCTCGCAATTAATCCTAACACTTTTTTTATAGCAATGGCGATTATAGATATTAATAACGGCTATAATATTAAGTATGTTCTGTTTTCAGGCAGATATGAAAAAACTAAATAATTACACGATTATTCTACGATATTACTTCAAAAAGTTAGTAATATAAAAGACAATTATATATATCCTATACAAATTTTCATAAATTTAGATAATATTACTAGCACTTAGGCTTAGTATTTAGAATAGAATTATAAAAATTATTGTGTGTGTGTGACTAAATAAAACATATAATAATCTTACAGCCTGACTATATATATCTGTCATTTAGACTGTTTAAGTCTTTCCCTAAATTTCCAATCACCCTGATTATAATATCATATATCTTCTCAATCTCATAAACTTACCTTTTAAATTTCCTGTTTTAATAAATTTATATCATTTATAATAAATATCTTGAGAGAGATAAATATCGCCATTGCTCATCTTAGTTACAAGTCTCTTAAATATACATTAATTTATCCTACCTAAAGTATATTATCAATATTTGTATAAAAAAAAAAAATATAAAATTTGAGACAAATTACTTATTACTCTATGCTGTTCTATTATTACATTCATGTATTATTTTATAGTTTAATTTCATTTATATCAAATTTGACTTTTCATTTTTAGCGTCATAGATGTAAATAAGTTTCAAATAGTACAATTATATCTATAATACCAAAATTATTGAACATAATTTTTATAAAATAAACTTGAATTTATAGAAATATAGAGGAGACTCGTAATTAAGATCATAGAAAGGACTACCCTAATATGCTGACCTATCTAAAGTATGCATCATATATGGTACTCGATTGATGCTGTGTGAGTGGGAGTTTGCAAAACTCTGATTTGTTCTGTTCAACGAATGTAGCGTTCTCTTTCTTTGTTTGGCGCACGCTCATGATCACAGCTCAGTCGTAGGCCACAGATTCTGTACTGTCTCTCCGCTGTAACATCTCAGAACAGAAGGACAACCATACATTAGTTTTATTCAGGGCCAACGATCATCTAGAACCCTAACCTATCAAAATTTAATCTGAAACTGCAATAGACCACTTGACTGCTACAATTTGCCAGCATTTAAGACAAAGCTAGCACTTGACTGCCCTAAGTAAATGTGATCAAAGTATTTTCCTTCGTCATTCCCTTTTTGTTTAAAAATTACACCTCCTGTCGCTTGTGCATATACCATGTTTTCCACACATACATATATGTGTATGATTTCTTAGTGACTACGAAGATACAGCAATTTAGCTGCTTTAGCAATATACCTTCGACTCTAGACTTCTTGCTTGGTGGTTCCATATTATTTTGTGAAGTTGGTGCCTGCACAAACAAATAATAAAAATACAAAAATTAATATCTTATCTTAATATACATCATCGATGTACATTTTTTATAGCGTAGATAAAATTAATTCAAATAATGCACACATGTTATAAAAATAATTATAACCTATTAATCTTTTTAATGTATTTAACAAATATGTGAACATTTGGTTTTAATCCTATAAAAAAGCTATTCCCAGATATACAATTTTTATGAAATTTTTTAACCATAAAATAAATCACAATTGTTACAAGATAAATAATTTTTTATTTTGTTTATAAACTATATAAAGCAAATTAAAAAATAACAATTTCCATGTTATTACTGAAATTTAAAAATTCAGCTTTGAAAAGGTTAAATAAACTAACGTACCGTAACAAACATTTTAAAATATGAGCTAAATTAATATTAAGAAAGATCAGTGATATAAACACAAATAGTTAAGTATTTAAAAGAATATATTAAATATACTATTACTAAAAATACTACTACTAAACAATATACGCATTGAAATATGGCTAAAAACAATATAAGAATTTAAACAGGATCAATTGTTAGTATATCATCCAACATCGGAGATATGTTTAATATCTAAACCTTCTTTATACAACGGCCATAGTTGTTCGATACTTCATTTTTCTTTGCTATTACTAAAACCTTTCCTAATGTGTAATTAAATTTACTCGCATATTTACCATGGCCATTGTTCCGTTCATTATCCTTTTCAATTGAAAGAAGTAAAAAGTATTTTTAATTTCACTAAAATAATAAATTGCACGCGATGCTACAAACTGACTCACACCCGAAATTCTCTCCTCTACGGAAGTTGCACAAGGAAGGCATATTAACGCTATCCTTTTTTAAAGTTCAAACTAATATTAAATATTTTCTGTTAAAAGTAATTTTGATCATATAAATTATGTAATTTATAAATAACATTATAAATAGTCATCTCTGTTCATTATTATCCTTCCTATATTATTATTTTATAAAAATTTTTTAACACAACTTGACTTACGTAGTATCCTTTCAATGGAAGACATGCGTTTATGGGTTAGGACTTGAAAGATAGAAAAACGAAATAATAAATTAAGAAATTATACTATCATGGATACGGACGGTTTCCAAGTGAGAATAATTGATAATGAAAAGGTAAAAAATAGGTTTTTTTTTTATTTCGTAGTTTTGTATGATAATCATGTGTTTCCTACACTGATTTATATACAAATATGTGTAAATGTATAATAAATAACTTATTAAATAAATTTTACATACATTCATATTCAGAAACAATTAATTATATTTAAATGAAATTTAAAAGGGAAAAGGTCTCTTTGCAACACGTTTATACAAAGAAGGTAATATAATATTGGAAGAAAAGCCGCTAGTATGTTGTCAATTTTCATGGAATGCAGAATATGGATATTTAGCATGTGACAATTGTTTGAAACCTTTGGAAACTGCAGAAGAAAATGCTCGTAGATTAACTAATAAACCAGACATTATCTTGCCGCATATGGAATGTTGTGAAACCAAAAAGAATTTGATTACAGAATGTTCTGCTTGTGGAATAAAATATTGTAGCAATGAATGTAAAAATGAAGCAATGGAAAAGTAACTACATTTCTATATTATTAATGTATATTTTATTTACGTTAATTATAATTTAAGGCATATTTGATTTAATAAATATTAGTATCTTTACTATTTGAAAAGGAAATTAGTTGAAACCAAAGAACTTTTTCAGATATCATAAAGTATTGTGCTTACAATCAAGGAATAGAAATGATGATCATCCATTATTACAATTAAATGAAACATGGAAACAAATGCATTATCCTCCTGAAACAGCAACGATAATGTTATTAGCTAGAATGATTGCTATTATTATTCAGACTTCTAATCAAGGAGATATTTTACAAACTTTTTCTCAATTTTGTCATCGTACTGTAAACGACACTCATGAAATAGCACACAATTTGTTAGGTGAAAAATTTATTGGACAAATCGATGTATTAAGACGGTTGTTACAGAAAGCATTAAATAATGATTATACATTGAATGTATGTAACAAAAATATTCATATATAAATAATTTTATAATTATTAAAATTCTACTTTGCTCTAAATTTAATTTTTTTATTTACAGTGGTTTACACCAGAAGGTTTTAGAAGTTTATTAGCTTTAGTAGGTACTAATGGCCAAGGAATTGGTACAAGTGCATTTGCTCGTTGGGCAAAAAATGTCAATGTTTTAGAACTACCTGAAAACGAAAGAATACACGTGGATAAATTTATTGAAAGACTTTACGATGATATGGAAGAAGGTATGTGGAATAAAAATTGTATTTCTTACTGAAATTAATTACTTAATAAAAATTGAATATAATGTAACATTATTTTTATTCTTTAAGTGGTTGGTTCATTTCTGAACAATGAAGGTTCTGGGCTTTATGTTCTTCAATCAACTGTAAATCATAGCTGTTTATCAAATGCAGTTGTTGAGTTTCCTTATTCAAATAGCACCTTAGTATTAAGAGCTATACGTAACATTCAACCTGGAGATGAAATTACTATAAGTTATCTAGAAGACTGTGAGCTTACAAGAAGTAGACACTCTAGACAAAAGGCTTTAAAATCTTTGTACTTGTTTATTTGTTCCTGTGATAAATGTCAATCGCAAGCTGGAGATCCAGATGAAACATCTGATGATGATGATTATGATGATGATGATGATGATTATATGTAATCATAATAATATATTAATTATATTATTTATAATTATCTTATATTAATATAATTAATATAAAAATATTCATTATTTTCTAACAAATGGTTCTTTTAAATCATTAAAATCATTAACATCTACAAATAATATCAACTGTAACATATATATATATATATATTAAAAATAGTATATATTACTCAGTTTTACATTTTAATCAATTTTAATATAATAATAATAGTAATAAAAAATAAATTACATTAATAAAAAGAGTATTAATTTCTAAAATAATAAAAATGTATCAATATTTTCAAAATAAAGATAAAATCTTTGATTATTTATAATCTATTAAAATTTAATTAAGTAATGTTAACAAATCAAAAGTAAAACATGCTATTTTAAGGTAGAATTCTTAATTTTTTTATTATGAGCACAGAATACAAACATAAAAGTAAACATGTATCTGTGCTTATGTGCATTGAAATTAGTATCAAAATAATATATAATATATAAGTATTCATTATTATTATTTTACATAAAATAATCGTCGAATCATCAACAGAAATTCTCGTTTATTTTTATCAAAAATTTATATACTAATTACTGTAAGTTATCAATTATATTATTATTCTCTGTGGAGATATGTCAACATTCAAAACTGTATTGGCACTGCATCTCATCTAATGTATAGATAAAAGATTGGAAAGTGTAAGTTTAATCTACTAATATTAATACTCAAGCGGACACTAATTTATATAAGTTTATACATCAGTATTACAGGTAAGAATGCTACTTCTCTGTTGCGTTTTTAGTTCAGTTAAAAAGTAGTGAACAACCTTAAATATTATCTTATATATTTTTACAAGTATATAGACTTAAAAATTTATTTAGTTATATAGATTTAGGAATTTATGACTTTTTATTTCTTTTGTACTTTCCGAATTTTAGAGTATTGTGTAAATTTACCATTAATACATGGTTGGTGTAATGGTAAATTGCATATATAATAAAACTATTTTATAAATATCTTTTATTATTTTCTAATTATTACAATATTGTGATTCTTCAAGAGTCAACGTATTTCTTCCCATAAACATAAGGTTGGAAATATAAGAAGGTAAAGGAGGGAGAAGTATTCCTCTTTCAAATAAATTTATTAAAAAGATAGCTATATTTTCACTACGAAACTGCCACCTAAAAATATATATTTATATATATAATAATATTTTTTATAAATATACTACAAATTTACATATATATATTTTTTTTATTGTGTAAAATAACTAGCTAAACCCTGAAATAACTGTACTGACTTGTGTAAATATGAGAGAATGCAGCTCATACTTCAACCCAGTAATATATGAATTTACAAAAGGCAAGGAGTTAAATAGGAAATTTAAATTTGATCCGTAGATTAGATTCGATAGAACAGCATGACTAATAGAACATTGGTTTTCAAAGTACATGAAGTCATAAAAACGAATTATGAACATTAGTAGAAAAAAAGCTGAGATTAAAGACGGAAGAAATTTCAATCTCATATTTTAACTATTTACCTTTTGTGAATTCATATAGAACCTCGTTATTTCCTAAAACTACTAATTTTAATGTATAATAACATTTTTTATATGCTTTCCCATAAATACCTAGTTATTTCAGGTTAATTTAACGCTGAAATTTGTATATATGACAGTTTTTAATAACATTTATATTTGTATATAAAGACTCACCCAATTTTAATAGTATTATTTGGTAAACGTGATGCTATTTCTCTATCATAGATAGAAGTATTTGCTTCTTTAATAACAAGTGTATCTAATGTTGGTGGATCTACACCAAAACGATTTTCTAAAAATTTTCTCCTTTGTCGTTCTTGTGTAAAATCTATACCTGTTTTTCTGAAATATAGAAAAAATAATAATATTAATTTAACATAAAATATTGAAAATTGATAAGATTATTATTTAAAAACAAAAGTCAATATATTACCTAATAATGGGTTTGGCATTTTTATACATTGGTTTATTCATGATATCTAATAAACTAACTGCACCTTGTTTTCGTATTCGAAGTAATCTCATTAATGACATAAGATTTCTGCCGTTTAAATCAAGACTTTTGTTTTTATTATAACCCATACTTTGCGTTATTGCATCTACAAAACCTTGAAGAACCTTTTTCTGTGCAGAGAATATATATTTTTTCCCCAAAAATATAGCAAAATAATTAGCTGGGGTTTTGAAATTATTTTGCATTACATATTTTATACTTAAATACATGATACCATTTAAAACTACAGCATCAACTTCTAATTTTTTAGTCGTAAATTTTAGTCTACTAATCTTTTCTTTTACAGTCTGCTTAAAATCTATAGTCCCAATGTGAGGAGGCTCATTAATAGAGCCTGATATACTGTAAGTATACCAAAACTTTCGTTTATGTCTACTTACATCTACAAAAAAATAATATATAAAAGAAGAAATTAGAATGATTCAAAACATAATAACATAAGAAACATAAAACATCATAAGAATTTACCAATAAGTTCTAATCTCATTAATCGTCGTTCCAATTCTTTTTCCTTTAGATTGTTATCCTTTAAAAATAAATTAAAACAAAAATTAGAATGTTTTAACAAAATATAATAATAAACAGATACATATTTATATATAAATGAATCAAAAGTATTAAATAAAAATATGTCAAAAACAATTACATTCATTATTTTTTCTAGAACACAAACAACATTTGCAGTTATAAACTGTTCATGTTGTTTTACCAATTGAGATCTCAAACGCTTCCATGTTGTTTCTGGAAAAACTGGTAGTACAGCATCTTCTAATTCTTGAAATTTAAATCTACGGATAACATTCTTGATCCGATGTTTTATCAAAGTTTCAGAAACTAAAATGTTAACCTCTTATGTCAATTTCTTTAATGCAAATAGTAAAATGTTATGAATTTAAAATGTTTAAAATTGCATACTAACCTGTTGGCATTTTACTGTTAATTACAAATAAACTAGTTCTACATTAAAAAATAAACCTCTAGGCAAGGCAAAAATTTTATATTAATTAACATAATGATTATTAAAACCGCTCTCTAATATACTTTACACCATTTTTTCGAAACCGCCTTTTTTAAAGACTCGAATTTTTCCGATCGTACCCGAATGCATACGAATCGGCAGCGATCCTATTCGTACGATAATTTGAGGCCCTGTACGATCCATTTGGAATTTCGAAAACTTGATGACCTTTTTTTTTTTTTAGTCAACAAATTTTGGAAAGGTGCACTTCCACCCCAACCCTCACTCCCATCACCACCACCACCACCACGATCTCCCAGCGAACGATCGTTTTTATGGTTTTCATGATAAGGTTTGGGAACTTGATGAGTAAAAAAGAAAAGGTCATCAATTTTTTTTTTCTCGACTTGAAGATTTTCCCGTCATCAACTTGAAAAAATTGGAACTTGGACACTTTTTCCAAAATTTTGTCCGAGATTGTTGGATTTTTGTCGGATTTCAAATTTTCCCGGGGCGTACGATGATTTTCTGCCGCGTACGATAATTTTACGCCCCTGTGTCGATCAGACGAACTAAAGTCTCTGGGATCACTGCGAATCGGCTAATAGTAGTAAAGATAAACAAGGGAAGTACACCAAGTATATTGTCACTGTGATCTAAAAATTGAGTAATAATATTTTTTCTAGACATTTATAAGATGGTATATTTATCATTCTTTAATAAAACATTTAAATGACGAGATTTTTTACTCTATCTTATAAAATCTATATTTATTCACATAAGAATATAATATAACCTAAAATTTATGCTGCACCTAAATAGAAAGTTCAAAATTTATATTTTTAAAACAGGATTATTAAGGTAATTATGATAAATTAAATAAAAAGAAAAATAAAAAAAGAAAAATGAAAAAGACAAATTTTAAATGAAGAATTTCGGTTTGTACGTACTCTTTTTTATTTTTTTCTAAACTACTAGTAATTATTAAAATATAAATACATGATTCGTGTGTAAACAATACATGTTTAAAATTAATATGTAACCAAAAAATATAGCATAGAGCAATAATTATTTTAAATTTGATCTCATTTATTTCCCCACCCCCAGATAACCTTGACAAAGCCCGAAAGACCAGCTTGTCCTCCTTTCTTAGCTTGATCGCCTAATTTGTCACTCAAATCTGGAAATTCAACCATATTGAAAGCTAAATCAAAAAATAATGGTTTACAAGGAATGCTTTGCATTGCAGGTGGTAGTTTATAAACATTAGGTTGTTTTGTAAGTAATGCACTATCTTCTCTGTATTCATGAAGCCGTTCATATAATGGTTTCTTGCTTTTTATAAATTTATTTATTCCTGGTTCTTCATCTTGACCATCTTCCAAAACACTATGAGCATGAGCAGCATATTGAGCACCTTCAATCGATATTTCTAATTTATTTAAGGCTTCTTTTAAATCGGTGGGCAAGATATTGATATGTTGAAGAGCATCTTTTACATGTTTTAAAGATCTCTGATATAGTGCTATTGCTTCACGCCATCGATGAAGATTAGCTAGAGATTGTGCCATGTAAAAACATCTGAAAGCTCTGTAAGCTTTAGTTTTAGCTTCCTGTTCGAGTGCAAATTCTTTATCATCTTGTAATTGTGATATTTCAACTAGATTATGCAATGCAGCTTCATACAATCTCACAATATCTTGAGGTTTAGCTTTCTCAGATTCTTCGGCTACTTTCACTAAAGCTAAGTTACGTTCTAATGTACGAGATAATCGAATATATTGTAAGTAGGTAACTAAATGCTGAGATGGAGATACTTTGTCATTATCTTTGTTTTTTAATTCATTTTTAAATAAATCTCGCACAGCTACAATTGCATCCTTGCAATCTATAAGATGTGCTTCTAAAAGATCAATCTTAGCTTGATTGGTCGCTGTTTTTTCTAGTGTTTGATTCAGTCTAGAATCTGCTATTAGTAAACCAGCAGCTCTGGGAGGCACAGTACCACATGATTTACCACGCCATGTAACTTCTTCAGTATTTGCTTGCTTTTCACGTGTTTGAGCAATCAATGAATCTAAGCCAGCTAATAGCTCTCCGCTTAATTGTCCTCGCATCTGCATAAGATCATCAATGGCAGTAGTATCACCTATGTTATAGGCACAATATCTTAGACTTGGTGCAAGTTCTTCAACACGTGCATTGTACATTAATCGTTCCTTTTCCGACAAAGCAGAAGCTAACTTTCCATAAACTACTTGAGCTTTTTGTAAATTTTCCATTGCACCTTTCCATAACTGCAATTCAAAATGCAATGACCCATGCATCCAAGCAACATACGCTTGAGCTTCCAGTTTAGTACGAGCATCGCTGTTTATGTTCTGAAACATTGACATTATAAAAATATTTTCTATTTTTTTTTTGTCATTTTTCTAACAATCACATACATACTTCTATCAAATCTTGCAATTGTAGAGAATACGTAGCAGCTTTTCTTAATTTTGATACTAAGTGAAATTTCTTCCTTGATTCTGTATTAGATTCTTGTCTTAACTGCATTGCATAACTCCATGCACGTTCAGATAGCATTAATGGAATTTGCAAAAATTTATCATCAGTAACCATTGCTCCTGTAATATCTTTTCTTTTAAAGTGACGTCTGTCACCTTGTGGAACTTTAAGAACTTTACGCAAACGTCTAAGTCTCCTTGAACAGTAACCTCTATATCTTTGATAGTCTCCATGCCTCAACCCATGTTGTTGTTGAGCTTCCTTTATAATTTTTAAAACTATTTATATATTAAGGATAAGTAATATTAACATTTAAAAAACTGCAATAATATTTTAAGTAAAAGTAATTTTTCATTAAATTATTGTGATTCGCATTTAACATAAACTTATGAGTATATATATATATATATAATGAATTGTTATAGCATTACTATTATTATTAAATAGATCAATTATATTAGTTCTGCGTTAATAAAAGGTTAGGAAATAACATATGGATATATTCAACTTATTTAACTCGGGTTATTATAATAATTTATGAAAGGATACTTTCTAAGGAATATGTTTGCTTTTTTTTCGGTAGCACTGTATCCTGCACTTCATTTTCGTTATTTGAGTCTGGAATTTTTTCGACACCCATTTCTGTTACACGTCTACAATTAAAGAGATTAAACTAAATCAGTTTCGTATAGAGTGTTTCGATTACTTTTTCACTGCTATTTTTATAGATGCACTACTGTCGATTTTTATAAAAATGTGTACTGTTCATTTACGAAAAGAAGTTCCCTATCTAGAATACGAATCTCATTGGTTAGCTTCCAGAAAGGTGATTTTTGTTCACAAATGGACAAATATAAGTCTGTATATATATATTATATATAAATACATTTTATACATAAATAGAAATGTACAATAAAGAATAATATGAGATAGATAAAATATAATTATTAAGGAAAATTATCTAGAATTTATCTTTTTATTTATTTCAAATGAAACAATATACGATTTAATAAGAAATAATACAAGATTGATAATTTTAATAAAATTAAAATATCTTTAAATGAATTTATAATAAATAATCTTATATTTAATAAACTACATAAACTAAAATATCTAATAATAATTAAAAATTCTTTCATGATTGACTTTTCTGCGCATGCGTTTTGAATGACGGTAGTGAGTTGCAAGTGACGTGGCTGGGATAATAGATCGGGTTATGCGTTCACCAATTGAATGTTGCATAGTTTTGGTATTTTATAAACTGATATTAATTAAATATGAGAAACTAATATAAATATCGTGTATTCATATAATTAATAGAATTTCAAGAAGTAAATTGAATTATAAAAAGAAAGTAAGTTAAATGTTTTAACCTATAATACATTAAGAGTAAATATGAAGTAATTTATCAATTACAAATATGCTTATGAATTTCATGGATTGACAAATAATCTTTGTTTATAATTATAGTATGATCACAACGTATGAGGATTTCATTCAACAAAACGAAGATCGCGATGGGGTTCGTTTTACTTGGAATGTCTGGCCATCGTCACGTATTGATGCTACTAGGCTTGTTGTACCTCTAGGAACTCTTTATCAGCCTATTAAAGAACGCCCTGATTTACCACCTATTCAATATGATCCAGTTTTGTGTACTAGATCTACGTGCAGAGCAATTTTAAATCCATTATGTCAAGTAGATTACCGTGCGAAACTATGGGTGTGCAATTTATGTTTTGGAAGGAACCCTGTAAGAAATACATTTATATGAAATATTTATCTTACAATAATTGTAATTGTAGTTATACTTATGGCATATTCTTATACATTTAGTTTCCGCCTCAATATGCGGCTATTTCGGAACAACATCAACCAGCAGAACTAATTCCTATGTTTTCAACAATCGAGTATACTATAATGGTAAAAATATTTCTATTATTTATCATTAACCACTTGACATATTTTGACGTCTCCGAGACGTCATTCATTTCATGTGCCATTGTAGACTTTGACGTCTCACAATTAAGTGTTCACAATTAAGCTAAATTAAATGGTATCTTATGGGCGCGTCGACAAGCATTTTATTCGCATGTCAAGTGGTTAACCCTTGACAGTCGTAACTTGACAGTCGTTACTTGACAGTCGTAACTTGACAGTCGTAACTTGACAGTCGTAACTTGACAGTCGTGGTAACCCTTAACCTTCGCACAGTTTTCAATATTCCGAGCCAAGACTTTTGTCTCAAAAACGACTTTGTAACATTACTTTTAAAAAGTAAAAAGTAAAAAGTAAAAAGTAAAAAGTAAAAAATAGCGCTTGCAATTATTTCCGAACAGAAAAAATCGAGTCGATAGCATTTGGCTTTATTTTTGGCTCCATTTCTGTAAGAAATGCGAGGATAGGGGGGGGGAATACTTTTATCTTTCCATTTAGATATTTATTCTGTTTATATCATTTTTTTCAGAGAGCGCAATGCCTTCCTCCTATCTTTTTACTTGTTGTTGATACATGTATGGATGAGGAAGAATTGGGTGCTCTTAAGGATTCACTTCAGATGTCTTTATCTTTGCTTCCATCTAATGCTATGATTGGTCTTATTACTTTTGGAAGGATGGTCCAGGTGCATGAGTTAGGTTGTGAAGGATGTAGTAAAAGCTATGTGTTCCGTGGTACTAAAGATTTGCAGCCAAAGCAAATTCAAGATATGCTTGGTTAGTATTATCTTATTTATTATGTACTTTTTATTTAAATTTATTTTATTTATCATCATTTTTAATTTTAATTTTCCAATTTAATTAGGTATTGGGAGACCAATACCTGGTCAAAATCCAAATCAACAGAGAGGTACCGGTGGTCAACCCTTACCACCAGCTAATCGTTTTTTACAACCAGTGCATAAATGTGATATGAGTTTAACAGATTTACTTGGAGAATTGCAACGTGATCCTTGGCCAGTTGGACCTGGAAAACGTCCATTGCGTTCAACTGGCATGGCATTAGCTGTAGCTACAGGACTTTTGGAAGCTAGTTATGCAAACACTGGGGCTAGGTTGGTAAAGAATAGTATATTAGTAAACGATTATAATACGACATTTTTACATATGTTCTTTATTATGAATATAAATAATTTTTTTAGAATCATGCTTTTTGTTGGTGGACCATGTTCTCAAGGCCCTGGTCAAGTTGTTACAGACGATCTTCGTCAACCTATTAGATCACATCATGACATTCAAAAAGATAATGCAAAACATATAAAAAAAGCTACTAAACATTATGATGGTCTTGCTGCTCGTGCTGCAACTAATGGTCATATAATTGATATTTATTCATGTGCTCTTGATCAAACTGGATTATTAGAAATGAGACAATGTTGTAATTCAACGGGAGGACATATGGTAATGGGAGATTCATTTAATTCGTCGCTTTTCAAACAAACATTCCAAAGAGTGTTCACAAAGGATGCTAAAGGTGATCTAAAAATGGCATTCAATGCTACTTTGGAAGTTAAAACATCAAGAGAACTTAAGGTTTCCGGTGCTATTGGTCCATGCGTTTCTTTGGGTATAAAGGGTTCTAGTGTAGGAGAACAAGAAGTTGGTTTAGGTGGTACATGTCAATGGAAATTCTGTTCTTTGACACCATCGACTACAACAGCAATTTTCTTTGAAGTTGTAAATCAACATACTGCACCAATTCCTCAAGGTGGAAGAGGTTGCATTCAGTTTATTACACAATATCAACATAGTAGCGGTCAACGAAGAATTAGAGTTACAACTATAGCTAGAAAGTATGTGTTGTCATTGCATAAATTTTGTATTGTATTATTTTTTTTGTTTATAATATGTTTAATTATAGTTGGGCAGATGCATCTACATCGTTACATCATATAAGTGCAGGTTTTGATCAAGAAGCAGCTGCAGTTCTTATGTCACGTTTAGCCATTTTTAAAGCTGAAAGTGATGATGGCCCTGATGTTCTAAGATGGGTGGACAGAATGCTTATAAGACTTGTTATTATTTCTTAATTACTATTTTAATTTTATAACTGTCCAACATTAAATCAAATACTAATATTTATTATTTATAAATTACAGTGCCAGAAGTTTGGTGAATATTCTAAAGATGATCCAAATAGTTTTAGACTCGCAGAGAACTTTTCATTATATCCGCAGTTTATGTATCATTTACGTAGATCTCAATTTTTACAAGTATTTAACAATTCACCAGACGAAACAAGTTTTTATAGGTAAAATTAATTTTTCTATATTTATTTATCCTTTTTTCTCTATGTTAGATGTTATTAAATTAATTACTTTTATAATAGGCACATGCTAATGCGCGAGGACTTAACAAATTCTTTAATAATGGTACAACCCATTTTATATAGCTATGGGTTTAGTGGTCCACCTGAACCTGTATTACTTGATACTTCATCAATTCAACCGGATAGAATTTTGTTAATGGATACATTTTTCCAAATACTCATATTTCATGGAGAAGTATAAATATTTTTCTCGCTTTTAGATTGTTAAATAATATTTTAGTATGCATTATATTTAAGTTACATTTTCTCCAATAGATAATAGTACAATGGCGACAATTAAAATTTCAAGATTTACCAGAATATGAGAATTTCCGTCAGTTATTAGCAGCACCAGTTGATGATGCTGCTGAAATACTTAGTGGAAGATTTCCCGCACCTAGATATATTGATACAGAACACGGAGGCTCACAAGCTAGATTTTTATTGAGCAAAGTAAATCCCAGTCAAACTCATAATAACATGTATGCCTATGGAGCGGTAAGTTTATCAAAGAATTTTCTATCTTATGTTATATTTATTTTAATTTATTTTATTAAAAAAATAAAAATTATAATTTATTATGAGAAGTTCGTAAAGTATATTTTTGTTATTACGAAAATCCGTTCACATATATGTAAAAGTTTTAGTTAGCATATAATATCAATCATATGTAACTAATTTTGTTTTATCACCACGATCCTGTGAACCAGGGGATGCCGTTGCCCAGTGGGGTGTGTTTTTCAACTCATTTAATAATTGCTTTCTCTTATAAGACTTGAATGCTTCGGTGGTGGGATTTTAGGGAATATTGTTAAATTTTTGAAGTGAAAACTTCTTTAGAATCGGGGTGATTTGAAAACGGATGAAACACAAGCAAGCGATGTAACGGGCGAGAATACTCGAATGTATAGAAGCGACAGAATGCTACGTCACTAAAAAGAGAAAAAGAGACAAACATATATACATTTATAGTTTAGACACGTTCTTTAAAAAAATACACCATACTCGCTCTATTATATTTTCAATAAAAATAATATTACTTACTGTAGAAATATAGAAAAATATTATTATAATAATATTATAATAATATTATATAAAACATTATCTTACTCCTGATACTATGCACTCATCTCATTCTCTCGAAACTTGCTTGTTTGAGAGTTTCACTTCTAACTTGTGTGATCTGCGCAAATGTTTAATTATAGTAATTGTATAAATAATACATGTGGAAATTGTTTATCATATCATTTATTATAGAAAATAAAATTGATTATATTATTTATTTTTTATATTAATATCTTTCATATTTAATTATGTATAATATACTTTTTAATTGAAATGAATGTAACATGATAAGTAGGTTGTGATACATATAATGCTAAGGTTTGAAAACTTTAATAACTTATATAATATTAATAACTAATAATTCTATAGCTTAATATGTCAATATGATATAGCTTAACATAAATTGATGTTCTTCATTACAAACTTTTAGCATTTCTGTGTCTAAGGTGGAGGGTTAAATTTATAATTTTATAAATTAATTCTCAATATTTTTATATTTACTAATTTAATACGTTATTATTTTTAGGAAAGTGGAGCTCCTGTTTTAACTGATGATGTCAGTTTGCAAGTATTTATGGAACATTTAAAAAAGTTGGCTGTTTCCTCTACAGCATAATTCTTACATAGATATCTGTATAATTATCGGTTTCTATACATAACATTTTTTCTAGCTATTATTAGGAATTATTAATTTTTTATATTTGGATGATTATCAAATATATTAATATATAAAATTTTTTGTAAATGTATCTAAAGGTTTTTCGGAAACATGAAATTTATTTAAAACTTACATGTATACAATAATTCACACAATGTATTTTTCTGCATTTTGGTTTTAAGATCAGTGATTGTTGTTTATATAAATATGAAATTGTGTAATAATAATATAGTATATTTGTTAATATTAATCCAATTGTTTGCTTTTCTTATGTTATGGTAATGCTTCAAATTGTGTTATGTATAATTCATAACATATGTATGATAACATAAACACTATATAATATCCATATGAATCACAAAGATAAAGGTGTAATATTCATTAAAGAAACAATGGGGATATACATTATATTAGATGTATTAATATTCCTCTATAATAAATTTTAGAATATACGATAAATTTAGCTAAGAAATCTTATAGACATTTTCTGTTCAACATCTGTTCGTTCCAATACCTTGCAAAATTCTTCCAAAGAAATCATACCATCTCCATTTTCATCAGCTTCAAGAATTGTACGTTCTGCAATGCTAGTGAGTTGTTCCGCACTGTACATATATATAAATAAGACATAGTAATATATATATATATCTAAATTTTCATCTGAATTTTACTTATTTGCAAATTCTATATATATTTTCTCTTACCTAATATTAGCTCCAACCATCATGTGTAAAATAGCCAGTAGTTCATCTTTAGATATTAAATCGTCATTATCCAAGTCATACATTTTAAAAGCAACTACAAATTTAAACTATTAAATAATTGTTATACAAATTTTTAATATTACTTAATTAAATTGATATAAATAAAGGAAAATATGAATAATTTTATGAATAATGTAAAAACAATTGATACTATTACGTACACTTTAATTTTTCTTGTCTTGAATTTAATCTATTGGGACTGTTTTTTTTTATCGGTCTAAAATGTGCTAGTACTTGCATGAATTGTAAAAAATTAACTCTATCATTTCCGCTTTCATCAAAAAAGGCATTCACTATTCTGTCACCAAGTGGATTTATTGCAAGTTCAGGAATCCTGAGAAAATCTTCTCGACTTAATGTACCACAGTCTCCACGATCCAGACTAGTAAACCGGCTATACAAGCGTTCAATCTGATTTGGAGTAACTAGAATAAATAAAGATGTAATTAAATATATAAAATGTGTCTCATAATGGGTGGTACAACCAAATAAGGAGATGATCCCACAAAAATGTAAAAATAAGTCAAAAAAAAAGAAAGTAATATTTATTACAATCTTAAGAATATTAATTAAATTATCTCTTCAATAATTTATCTGCTAAAATAATTTTGTTTTGCATACACTAAGTATGCAGAAACCAATATGAATTTTTTTGACCGAAAAGAAAAAATAATAAATGTTTTTGATCAAGGATATCACTTTTAAAAATGTTTTTAATAATATAACATAATTAATGTTAATAAATGTGTTATCCATATGTTGACATTTCTTATTTATTATTACGTATTTAAGCCTGGAAATGGTTCAGTGCACATATACTCTACAAAATTTTCAAACTTAATTTTTTCAGAAATAGAATTATAAAAAATGTCACTCTTATTTACCGACTTATTTTTACATGCAGAATCACTCTTTTGTCTGAACATATTCTGTATAATCATTTTTAATATAATTATTTAATATTAATCATTTTTTAGTACATACATCCTGTTGCTTCTTGAATTTGAGCTATTTCTTCTTCACGTAATAGAAGACTAGATTTGTTTCCCATTTTATCTGATAAATATAATATTTTATGGTTTGAATATAAATATTATATTAGTTATGCAATTACACATATGATTTCATATCCATTTGAAAAAGTTCAAAGTACACTTTGAAAATTTAAAGGTTAAAAGTTTGTATGACGTATATAATTATTATTGACTGCTGTCATGTAATATCAAGGTAATTTCTGTTTTTTTTTTATTAATTTTTTATTATATAGTTGTAGATATAGATCTTTAAAATCATTTTTTAATTTTATTTTAATAAATTTATAATTTCATAAATGAAGAAACACAATGTACAGAACTATTGTATCAAATATATTGCTTTCTCCATGTCATACGTATATATATATATATATATATATATATATATATATATATATATATATATTATACACACGAAATTACCAACTCATGGTAACTAAAAAAGTTAAATATTATTTAAAAAATAAGTAAATTGTTTTAAAATTAGATATTAGACAATTTAATGAAGTTGAACGAAACGTATAATTTAATAAAAATATTCATCACATTGACTAACGCTTAGTAGTAATTAATATAACTAAATTTTGAATAAAATTTGACATGATATCATACGGGTAATAATGCCTCTATTATATTTGTAATTGTTTAAAGTTCATTGCGTTTTCTGATGGTAAATCAGTAGAGGAGGACACCACAATATAGACTACTTGATTCAAATATTCGTATAGATAATTTAATTGGAATTTAAATTCGCGGGCTTTTGTAAATGTTATATGAAGTCCTTTGGTTCATCAAGTTATGATTGAAACACATTCTTTTTTAATCTTCATTATCAATTAATAATTATTACATTTGACAAAAATGGATTCAAGGGATATATTTTGTAAGAACAAAAGTTAGTTTATTTTTATAAATTATTTTTGTAGTGTAAAATATGTAAAAATATGATCTTATACCATAAAGTTTTATTTTTATCAAATAATTTTAGGTAAAATGGTGATTCCTAAAACATCATTTTCTGTTAAAGTTACTAATTTTAAGAATCCATATCGTATAATAATATATAAAACTAAAAATTATATTAACAAGTCTAATATGATTAGTAAAAAATTAGTTAATCATATGAAAATGGAAAACTTAAATTCGAAGGATAATGGTGAACCTAATTTTGGAGATGTAAATTTAAATATTTATATTCACATATAATTGTATGGCTCAGATAGATTGAATAATAATATTTAATTTTTGTAGCTTGTCGTTGTTCATGGTAAAGTGAGTCAAGATGTGGATCTTCCAGGATGGTATTGTAGAGGATTAATTGGCCATTTTGATCCCATGACAATGAGATATAATGTTTTCTTAGTAGATTATGGAATTTCAGTTCCAATGTTAAAAGATGATTTTATTTTTTTACAACATGATAATATATCTGATGAATATTTAACAATGGATATTGGTATTTATAATATAATACCTACAATTATTAAGAAAAGAAAATCCACGAATGAACTTGTACAGTTGTAAGTAAATTTGTTTCTTTAATAAAAATTTATATATATATATATATATGTGATTTTTAATATTTCTTACTTTTAAACAGTATTACAGATAAATGGACAACCGAAGCTATAAAATTTTGTAAGGAATTAATTGTTGCATCTAGCAAAATATATTTTGATATTTCTGTCCGTGATGAGTGTGGAAAGTATTATGGAGAGCTATATCTTCTTTTAAATCGTGAAATAATATGTTTAAGTAAAGCTTTAAGCGAGAATGGATATGCAACTTATTTAAAAGAAGGTCATTTCTTTTTATCATAATAACTTTTTATCTATAATATATTCAATCTAAATTTATATTAAAAAGTAAGTGGAATATTTTGTTTATATAGATTTGTTGAAATTAATAGAGGAACCAAATAGCGGATTTGAAAAAGAATTTGAGGATAATGTTACTACTTATTTTATAAAAAGAGTAAATGATAGTAATTTAAGTGAAAGACAAGATGTAATAGATTTAAATATATCTCGTACTATGCAAAAAAGTTTTGAATGTAAAGAAAGGTGAGAGAGAAATAATGTGTGTGGATTATATTTATTAATAATATATTAGACTTTTTTATATTTAACACATTAATAACATTTAGGTTACATGAAAAATGCTCAGATGCAATAACAGGAAATGATATACATAAAGTATTAATATATAGTAATATTTCATGTAAAAAATTGAATTTTGTTACTGATGCTCAATTTCCTGCAGGAATACATATGGTATATATCCGTAAAGAATTATTTTCTTATATTTTTGTTTTATCTCAATGAAAATTTTAGAATATCTAATACATGAAATATTATATATTCTTTTCTTTTTATATAGGCTTGGGATTCATTAGTGCAATCAAGTAAACCTAAGAAGATGCAATCATATGTCTGGCCTGCTATAAAGCAAAAGTTAAATGTGGTTGCTATTGGACCTAAAGATTCTGGTAAAACGTTTGGCTACACTTTCGCTATTACTGGTTTACTTGCTGCACGACATTCTGTAATTATTGTTACATTATTATTCAATATAAATTTATTTTGGTTTCAGAGTTAAGGCATAAGAGAAACTTATACTTAAACTTTATATTTACATTATCTGTTATGCATTATATTATTTTGTGTGCATTGTGATTACATTTAATTTATTAGCTATATTAATAATATATTTATGAATTAAAATATTTCATTGCAGTTGCCTCAAGGAAATAGTCCATCAGCATTAATATTATGTGCATCGTCTTCAGAAGTACTCAGCGTACATTCACTTTGCATGAAATTTTTACAAAGCTATGGTCATATTAAATCAGTTACAGGATTTATTGGAAAATCAGACAGATCACTGGCGGTAAAAATATATATTTAAATTATTATTTTTTGCATATATATATATCTAGATGTTACAATATTATTTATTTAAATTATTTTCTATGTTTCTAGGCTGAAGTATATAATGGATGTCAGATATTAGTTTCAACACCAACATTCTTGGTCCAATTTTTAAAAGCATATAAAAATTTTTTTAATTTTGACAATCTTTGCTATTTAATATTTGATAATATAGATGTAATATTAGATAAATATTCTTCTTCTGTAAGTCAAATAAAATTTAATCTTCTATAAAAATTAATTTTTATGATATAATAAAATATTATTTTTGTTTGATGTTTTAGATATTGGAATTACTTGATAAACATAAATTAATTACAAATAGAGAAAAAAAAAGTGACGAATTATTTCCTTTGCAAATAATCTTTACTGCTAGATATTTTACAATACCAATAAGAACATTAATTAAGAAAATTATGTATAATCCATACATATGTATTAGTTCATTTCTAGAAGCAGTAATATTTAAATCTGTTCAACCGAAGATGTATATGTTAAATTCTAAATTGAAACTTCAAAAGCTCTTAGGTAGGTATATTTGTAAAACAAATTTTATATTAAAGCAAAATACTAATAATATTTGTGCATAAATGCAAAATCTTTTAGATATATTGGGTAATGAAAGCAAGTTAAAAACTATGATTGTGTGTAGAACTGTTGATGAAGCAGAAGAAGTAAATGCATTTTTATCAAAACATAAACATATACTTTTAGCTCACGAGGAAAAGCATTTATTTGAAATAGAAGGTTTGATGAAATTAAAAATAAAAGTATAAAAAAATAAAAATAATAAAGTAATTTTATATTTAGGTATACTCATGTTTATTTTCTTTTATCAATATTTTACAGATATTAAAAAATTATGGCAAGTGTCTATTCCTGGTTCTTATCCCATTATAATATCTACCGATGAAGTTTTAACCGACTTAAATATTATAGATGTGGATTGGTTGATACACTATTCTGTTTCATTAGAAGTGAAAACAAATTTTAATTTTAGATTTTCAACTCTTATGAATAATTTACAGAAGGTAATAGACAAAAAATTCTTATCTTTTTCTTTGCTATACATTTATCACTTAATAAATCATTAGGTATGTATATAACTTAATAATGCATTTATAGTAAGATAATTATTTTACAGGAAATAACTAAATGCGAAGTTACAATATTTATTAATGAAAACGATAATATACAATTTCTAAGTATAATAAATATGATGAAACGGATGGGTGTAGTATTATCAAATGATATGTTACTTAATATTGAGGTAGAGAATTAAAAAGATTTTTTGTATAGTAATTCTTTTTATCATACTTTTACAAATCTGAACTATCAAAAATAAAAATGATATTGTTATTTATAAGAAAATAATTAAAAATTAAAAGAAAATACATATTTTTTATAGCGTATATCTATAGCATTGGACAAATGTAAAAGGGAGTATCCGATATGTGATAAAGTGAAATCATTAGGATTTTGTCAAAACAAAAGTTTTTGCCCATTTAGACATTGTATTATTTCTGATGTTGATGCACCGATAACAAAAATAGAAACGTAAGTCATATTTATATGATTAGCCAAATTTGTTAAGTATAATTTTCTATTAATAGAAATCATTTAAATGAAAAAAAAAGTATTCATGACATTAATACTTGTAATATATTCCTTTATACAAGAGACAATAATATTTGTATAAAAATTTGTATTTTATTACAGAGGAGATGAAGTAAGATTTGTGATTACATATATACATGATGCAAGTCATTTTTCAGGCAGAATAATAAATTACGTAAAAGCAGATACTTCGGAAATTATTGAATTTTCCAAAAATGAATATATTCTTCTTACATCGAAAATTCAACTATTTTTTGGAAATATTAAAAACAGGTATAATTAATTTTTTTTATAAAAATCCGTCTTCAAAAAAATCACTAATTTTAGATGCATTTATTTCTTCAATATTATTTATTTCTACATAGAAGAAGATCTGATATCGTTAACGTAGGAGGTATTTATGGATTGGAAGACTCTATAGATAGTTTTAAAAGAGTACAAGTTCTACAAATTAAAAATGAAAAGAAAAATCGTTTTGGGACTTTTCAAGTTGCAGATGTAAGATGCATTGACACTGGAAATATATTAACAAATATTGAGGTATTTGGTACAAAAATAGATAAACTTTTATTATATAATATAACATCTTTGTATAAGTATATAAATAAGAGGATTAATTTTAGGTCCACAGATTATTGTCGTTACCAGAAAAGTTATCCAAATTACCAGCACAT